TTTGACATGTTGTATTTGCAAGATGGAGCTCCTTCACATTACGTAATTATCCAAATAAATGGATAGGACGTAGTGGACCTGTACCATGGCCGCCTCGCTTCCCAGATTTAAATCTATGCGATTTTTTTGCGTGGGGCCACATGAAACAATTAGTGTATGCTACTCCTGTGGACACAGCGACATGCCTGGTGTTTTCGATCTTGGCAGCTTGGCTACGTCGTGCTCGGGCTTGTATAGATAATGCAGGTGGACATTTTGAACAATTTTTATAAATGTGGCCATGAATATATATCATACTTTGTGAGACACCCTGTATATCTCATGTCTCAAGAATTAAAACTATGAAAAATGTGGTACATAATTCAGAAAAGAATGGGCAATAATCTGAAATCAGTAAAAACTTAAGTTTATCTCTGTCGCACACGACAGCTCAGTATAATATAAATAAGTAAAAAAAGAATGCACTTGTCTTTTAGGTGTAACATTTACAAGACAAAACTAGAAATGTTATTGAATTAAATAACAATGTTCTGCAAAGTTTATTCTTTAATCCAAACAAAAATTCGTTGAAATCCAACAAAGAATAACAAAAATATTGCAATGTGAAAAATCGTAAAATTTTAGGTGTCCGGTTAATTTTGTCGCGCAGTGTAGATATCTTATGAGTATACTATCTTTTCTTTAATTATGCGTTTACTTATTACACTAGGCGACAGTTTTTTATTTTTTTTCTAACATTGATAAAAATAGCTGTATCCTATGTAATTTTTTGTTTTCGTATTTAAAGGTCGAAGTAATCACTCATATTCACGATATAGACGAACTAAAAAAAATGTATTAAACCATTTTTATACTACACAAAATGGAACACTAGATAATAAATTGAACACAAAAACAAAGAAATATTTTCAGTGTGCTCTCCTTGTTAGGTGGAAGTAAAAATACATATGAAAATAATTTGCATTGAATGTTGAGCATGAAAGTTTTTGTGCACAAAAAAAATACAATTGTGTACACGTGTCAGTTTAGTCAGTTGTAATCGCGCTTTAGGGTAAATTGTGATCATCGATTCACCACATTATGCCAGCGTCATCATGAATTAGTTGAACAACCATTTTCCCAAAAGATGGATTGGTCGCCAAGTTCAATTGCATAGCCACCGCGGTCACCAGATTTAACTCCGTGTAATTTTTTTTTTGTGGGGTCACATAAAACAATTAATGTACGCAGCCCAAATTAATACCTTCGAAAGGCTGTGTATGCGAATGCAAGCTTTCCTAGCCTAAAGGGTACAAGTGTACATTGTCAACGAAAGACCACATTTTCAGCAATTTTTTTATAATAGCAAGTATTGACCCAACAATACTCACACTGGTCTACCTTAATGTAGCAATAATTTTTTTGTCTTTACGCTGTTTTTTCTTATGAATGAATGTAAATCTAGTATTAATACATAGGCGGAGACAGGTTTTCAGCCTCAACTTGTTTTTACTGTTAACTCAAAAATGACGTGCTTTCGTCAAAAGTTGGAAATATAAAAGTTGTTTCTCCTGACTAGTTCTATTAGTGGTTAAACTATTTGCAACTATCCGCAAACACCCTGTATATAACTGGGGCATTAGTTAATGTCTAGGGCGACTTACCTGTAGCCCTCGGAGACCATAAACAATTAAACATTCAATAATGCTCCATATAAATGACTATTATGCAGAGTTATTATAAATTTTTGAGTTTTTAAATTATTGATAACACTAATAGATTCAGCGCCAACAAAATTACAAACATATGCAAATTATACAAAATTTATCTCAACTGATACTGAAATAATTAAAAAAAAACCTTTTCCTCGTTATTTTCTTATAGAAAGCATCACCGGACATAAATCCATAGAAACTTTTATTATTGACCTGAAGAACCACATGTAAAAAAATAAATATAAAAAATCGTTTAAAAGGTCAATTGTACTTGCATTCAATAAACTGCGAGGAGGCAAATTTTCTTTTATTTTTCACTTTATATCAATGTTAGAATCATTTATAATAATTTGTTGAAAATAAATACCTACAACATTAAAAAAAAGTAATCAAACGTTATCAACACTTAGATATAGACAGTATAGTAAAAGTAATTTATCAGTGACATTCAAATAACATTCGTCTCTAATCAATTTGATATACAATACAAGGTGATTTTAAAGAGTGTGTAAACATTTTAACAGGTGATGGTAGAGCTCAAAAGAAGTCAAAATAACTAAACTTGCCTTATACGAATGTTAATAATTTCTGAGATATAAAGGGTTTTGTTCGTCGAATAAAACTGAATTTGAAGCCCTTAAACTTCACCAACTCAAATTGTAGTTGTAAACTTATTCGTCTATATTACATTTTTTTACAATTTTTGTAACGCCAAAATGGATGTTGCACGTTGCACCTTCTATATCTCAGAAATTATAAATATTCGGATAAGGAAAGTTTAATTATTTTGACTTCTTTTGAGGTCTTCTATCACTTGTTAAAATATTTGTATATACAGACTGGAAAGTCGCGCACCTCCGTGACACTGTATCATCGGGCGATGCCCTAGACAACAAGAAAAGTGTTTAAAAAAAATCCATTTATAAAAATTTCAAAGTTATGAGTTTAAATTTTGCATTTTGACTCTATTTATTTTTCCAAGTTTTTTTGCTACAGGCTATTAGAAGAGGAAACAAGGAAGCTGTATCCTACATTGTAACTCTGTTTAATACTATTTGTGGCTTTTATTGGCAAAATTTTTGTAAGTTTACTAAATAATTATAAAAAAAAACATATACAAGATCATCACTATCATTACATAGACATAAAGAAATGTCAAATGTCAAAAAATAAATGTCAAAATTTTTTGACAGATAGAATTTTTTAAACATTTTTTCAGTACTTTGGAGGACTACCCAATTACTCCCTTTCAAAGAGATGCGCGACTTTCCGGACACCCTGTACATGTGCTTTAAAATCAGCCCGTATATGCAAGCACTAGTAGTTTTGAAAATCTATAAAAAAACAGTCAAAATGCAAAAGTTCTTAAAATTTAACAAGGAAAAAAATTATATAAACTTTGTTAATTAAGTAGTTTGTGTTTTAATGCGACATATTCTGTAACTGAAGTGGTAATTTATAACAGTATGTAAAAAAATAATACCTTGTTAAATACTCAGTTGGTATTCTGTAAGTATTTTAATCTGTTGCATCGTGTTCAGCGGATAACTTTACGTATAAAAAAACCATGTTTCAAGCGTTTTTAAACTCAAAAAATTCGTAAGTTTTGAAACTTGACTCAATAATGTTTTGTGCACTTTTTGAGTCTTTAAGATCTCTAGAAATGTAAAAAACGTTATATAGATCAATTTTAAAGTTAAATTTTTTTTGATTTTGTCGAGATTTTGATCGATTTTTGGCACCATTATGATAACTCCGGACTTCTTGGTGACAACCGCTTATGTTTGGAAAGAAAATTTAATTTTTTATTATATACAAAAAAGATCAGTGTCCTGCGATAAATAGTAATCGAAAAAAATTCTGATAAACAAATCAAAGAAAAAATAAATAAAGTTATAAATTAAAATGTTGCAAGTTTTAACAAAATTAATTTATATTTTTTTTCTATGTATATATTTTATTTATTTTACCCTTAATAAAAAATATTTTATGAGTATTTATTTTACGGAATTCTAGTTTTTTAACTTAATAATATGTTTAGTTGCATATCCTATTTTTGAACGAAAAACTCCAGTGACGTCAATTCGCGCACCGTGATTGGTACAAAGTTACGAGGCAACCTTCTTACTTTATAAATCTTGGTCGCATGCGATTAATTAATAGAAACTTGCGTGATGCTGCAAATCCATTCGACTGGCCGGAAGTTACATTTTGCAAATTGTTTCGTTTAAATAAAGAAGCGGCTCAGTGTTTAATTAAAATGAAGTTGAGTTTTTTGTAAACGCTGGCTCGCACCATGCTGCTACACCTAACCATCTTAAAGTGCTTTGCGCTCTACATTTTTTTGGTCATGGGAGTTATCAACTTGATGCAGGCAGTAATGGCAATTTTTGACTTAGTTAACCTTCGGTCTGTAGGTGTATTTTCCAAGTTATTAAAATTGTAACGACGCATTTAATGAACATTTGGATAAAATTTCTTCAAACAGATGAAGAAATAATAAATATCAATTATTTCTTCAAAAATAAAGTTTTTCCGAGCGCGATTGGTGCGATTGACGGGACACATGTATCAATTTGAACAGAGGAATTAGGCACAAGACAAGACTGACAAAACGCCAACTTTACTTGTCAATTGCCGTCTAGATATTTAATTTAAATTGTCGCGTTTAATAGCTTTTTAAAAGATGAATATCAACACAAAAGTAAAAAACAATTAATAACATTGTAGTTTTATTGTTCAAAGTATTTATATAACCCCAATAAAGTTAAATTAGCTATTTTCAAAAGTATTGCGATGTGGCAACAGTGCCTTGTTATAAAAATTACAGTGCGATCAAAAAGTCTTTCTATCAAGTAGGCGTCCTAGTTGAGGACGTATGTTGCATAACAGTTCGTATGTTATCTAGATGTCAAAAAAATATTTTATAAAAATTAAAACATCAAGGTAATTAAATTGAATTATTCTATAAAACGTCTCAAAACAAACTAAAATAAGATTTTGTTGGTGTTTATTCATAAAAATCATTCACCACGGTTTCCTGTCATAATTTACATAAAAATTATTTTGACATTTTTCATTTGTCATTGTGACATTTTATCTTCCACAGACATACGATTTAAATTTCTACGCTTGAATGATAGAAAGACTTTTTGATTGCACTGTAGTATAACAGAAGTTTTAAAATTGTTGTGTATTGAATAAGAATCTGTGTAAAATTTTTAATAGGCATGTTATAATTTAACAGGACTGTTATTTTTAACACAAAAAGTACAGAATAGGCGTCAATAAATAAAAAAAACTTACTGAAACTTGTTGTGAGAAAATAGGCATCATAGACAACAAAATGTAGTCCACAAAAACAAGAAATTGCTACTTGGATATTTAAAACAACGCATAACCAGTCAACTTCTCTTATGATAGACAATTTTTCGTCTTTTGATTCAGACATATTCAATAATTTATACTTCACGACTAGTAGGTAAACATGGAAGCGCACTGACTGTCCACTTTCCACCGACTGTTTATTGCGTAGTGAATGAAATTCGATAGAAAGCTTTTAGCGACAACAGCAAATCGCATTTCATGAACAATATTGAATTATTAACCCAATATATTTGATCAGTTGGGGAGAAAGTGGACATTTCGAGTAAAATTAATGAGCTGAAGAATATCGTTTTAGACTAATGAACCCTTAATACTAAAATGACAGAGTTTGTTGGTTGCAAAAAGAATTATTACAAATAAATTGAAATTATTTAGAATAATAAATAGTTAGAACTTTAAAAAAATACAAAATTTTACGTGTGGATGATACAATTTTTTCTTTCTTAAATATTGAAGATTAAGTTAATGATTATAATGATAAGGATCTGATACATTTTCACATCAGTTATCACTTGCTACAACGCATTGCTTTCTTTATTATTAGACCATAATTAATTATTAAATGGAAAATGCTCCGATTGTGCAAGGAGAAACTTAATCCAGAAAATATTACAAGTACCAACTGTTAGTTCATTGAAAATTTTTATTTTCGCAGCATTTTTTAGATAACAACATACACTTTTTTTAAATATTTTTTTTGTATTACAAAATTTTAAAATTTCAATAATATTACATACTCGTATTTTGTTAAACCTTCCTCATGACTAAGCAGTGTGTGATAATAAGTTTTTGTAAAACATTTGACTGACTTTTAACCCTAAAATGTATTGTGTGTAAATTTTTGTGTTGTGCTTTTTAACAAACACTTCCATGTTTCACAAAATTATAATTTAGTACTTTATTTATTAAAAAAATTGAAACTTTTTTAATTATTAAAACAAAAATAATGACATTGCCATTATTATTAGAATTATATTACAGAAAAAATTCATAGTGCTATTTTTAATTTTCTATGCATTATTTAAGCTTTAATGCCATATTTATCACCTCGCTTGTAATGTACTATTTTATAATTATTTAGTAAAGGTACAATCAATAAAAGCCAAGTAACATTACACAGAGTTACAATTTAGCATACAGCTTCTTTGTTTCCTCTTCTAATAGTCTGTAGCAAAAAAACTTAGAAATTCATTTTTCCAACGAAAATAAATAGAGTCAAAGTGCAAAATTTAAACTCTCTTAATTTAGAAATTTGTATAGATAGAATTTTTTGAACATTTTTTCCATGTTCCTAGTATTTTACCTTACATGGCATTTTTCTCTGGGGCGCGAGTTTTGTCGCACCCTGTATAAGATAATCTTATATGTATATATGTCGTAGTCATTGGGCGTAATGCGTCATTCCGCGGAAAGCCAGTCTTTGGCCGTACTGCCGGCAGACGCTGTAATCAAATGAACATTCCTTTGTTTGACTGAAATTTTACGTCATTTCAGGGATTGCCTACTTAATTCTCGTCAAACAAAGTAACCGATTAAACCACTACATGTTACAGCGTTTGACGAAAGTGTATTTAGTCACTTGCTGAAAAGTCTTGAAATGTTTGATACTTTCTGTAGAAATGTAAATTTTTGGTAGAAGAAAAGAAAAGAAAAAAAACTAAAATATTTTTATTGTAGCAAAATATTTGTTTCGTTTATTTGGAATAATGTAAACATATAATATTATAAAATCATACAAAAAACGGTAAGTACATGACCTAAACAACAGATTAAAATATATTTTTTGCCTTCGGGTAAATTAAACAAAAATAAAAATATATTCTTTAGAAATATCTTTTGCAGTCTAAAATATGTACAATTGAAATAAAGGTGTATTTTGAGGTTAGAAGTCTTTTACCTCTTTCATTACTTCATAATTCCACGGTTTTTTGGCATCTTTGATTTTCAAATCATATTCATTTAATTTGTCATAAAACAAACTATTATGATTATCCATTTTCAATGAGAAAAGTCCAACAATCACTAAATGTTACGGCCCGAAATACTACACAATAAAATTTCAAGCTTTCAGCAAATGACTAAATACACTTTCGTCAAACGCTGTAACATGTAATGGTTGAACCGGTTACTTTGTTTGACGAGAATTAAGTAGGCAATCCCTGAAATGACGTAAAATTTCAGTCAAACAAAGGAATATTCATTTGATTACAGCGTCTGCCGGCAGTACGGCCAAAGACTAGGCTTTCCGCGGAATGACGCATTACGCCCAATGACTACGACATATATATTACAATACATTACCTCTAAACGTGCTCTAAACACATTTGCAAAATCCGTATAAAATTTCTTTTAAAACCGTGAAAAAAATAATCTAGTCAAATATCCCATAATTTATAACTGTCTTACAAAAATAAAATAATGTTGCTAACAAACGATAAAATACTGAGAAATTATTTTATGAAGTAATGAAGAAGACTATTAAATTACTTAAATTTAATATTATTACAAATATACAGGAAGCCCAGAAAGTAGAGCACCATTTCAGAAATATAAAGATAGAAATATAAAGATAAAAATAATTAAAAAAAATGTATAAAGTAAAAAATGAGCATGGCACCGTTGTCTGATGGCAATGGTATTAAGCAACAGTAAAAATTATTTAATCTTAAAAACTCAGTAATCTCAGAAGTAGGCAATAAAAATTGTTACCATGACGACAGCTGAGATTTATTAATACACAGTGTCCAAAATCATGAGGAAAATGATTTTTTAATCCTACTGAATTAGAATAATGATACTTTAATTGTAGATTTGCTTGTTTCAGGTTTTAAGCAAAAAATGTCATTCCTTTAAGTTTTGGCGTAAAATCCAAGATTTGATCATGTTTTAAACGATGAAAAAGCAGACATGTTTCTAATCTGTGGACAGTGCTGTACCATTACTGTTCAAGCTGCACATGTTTATTCTCAAACATACCCAAATCGGCTTATCCTCGCCTTAAAATTAAGAAAAAAAAAATACGCAGAGATTGGCCAACATTGAAAAAACTACAAAACCCCAATTTTAATTGTTGGGGATCTGAAGTTCTAAATTAGACAAAAATGTGGAGCTATATAACCCCTGAAACTCTGTGGCAAGTGCAGCGATCATTTTACACAAATTGATGCATATTTACAAGCTGAAAGAAGACACCTAAAAAAACTTTTTTTTTCATTCTTGCTGTTTTGTAGTTGCAATAAAACTTTCTTGTTTCTAAAGTATGTATTTGTTTGACATTGATTTCTTCTAATATTTCTTCTTAAGTAGGAACACACCTATATCATTTTGATTTTTAAGTGAAATTACTTTGAACACTGTACAAAGTACACTATATATTTAAAAAGTCCATTCTATCGTTGAAAAAACTATATCATTTTTAATAAATAAATATACAGGGTGATTCACGAGGAATAATGTGCCTGACCCACGGTGTAAGATATTTAGGTGATGCAGCGAGCGCATGCACTGCGTTGGCTGAAGTGTGGTCAAACTGGTCACGCGATTTTTAGACAAGGAGGACATATGCGGGCCATTTGTTCCCGAAAGTCCGCCTAATAAAGTACACCTGAGGTGGTTACTTCAGCAATTTTATATTGTTCTAATACATGTTTATACATTTTGAAATGGGAAAAAATTTTGTGTGCCCAAGTTTAAAAGTGGCTATGCTAAAAATAATGAAAAATTATCTTTATTTCCGATACCTATCACGGAAAATGTTGCCTAATCGTATAATTCCAAAAATTCTGTATTTTCACTGTAAAGGATCATGTGTGTAAAAAACATTTTAAAGCAAAACATATAATTCGTGAAATAAAAACTGGCTGTTATACGGTAAATCTAAAGAAAATTAATTAAAATTATAAACACCATAAAACATATTTTTTCTAGATTGAAACAGCTTTTGTCAAATTTTATCTCAAAAACGAAGGAGAAAAGCAAAAAGAATTGAAAAAGCAACTCTAAATTTAGATTTTTTTGGTTGCTGTTTTTAATAATCATCAATAAATAATAATAATTTGCTTATTTATTTTAGTACTGAATAACTAACAAAATTTATTTGAAAAAATTTAAAATAAGAATAAAGGTTTATTCTATTTATTTATTTACCTTCTAGTCTGTGGTCTTTACATTCAATTGCGAATGGTGATAATTAATGTGATTTCAATAATTATGAAATAAAGTTCAGTTCAAAGTAACGTTATTTAAAAAAGTAGTAATCGACGCAAGGTATGAAATAAACTTTATATATTTGATCTCTCTGATTTAATTTTTCTCTGGATACAAAAATAACTACAGTCTAAAAACTGAATGAATTAACAACAAATTTTTGATAAATTGATGGTGTGTTACTGCAGTTTTACAATTCCTAATAATTTTAAATTTAGAATTAAATTTTACTTAGGTCCAGTTTCATGATCGAATTAAAGAAACTTTAAAGTTAATGTTGGTTTAGAATGTAAAATTTTGCTCAAGGAGTCCGTAGTAATTAGCACATCCTAAACAACATTTAATTTAGTGCTCCTTTAAATTTGATTATGCAACTGGCCCTTAGAACATTATGCGGCTACAAAATCTGTAGGTGTTTATGTTCTTGAAAAATCTTTGTCTTCGATATTCCGTTTCATAAAATAACCTTATTTAAAAAGAATTATTTTTAATTAAGTACTAATTTATTTAATTTTTTTTTTAATATACCTACTAATTTACTAATTATTTAATATAACAACAGTTTTCAAGTAAACTTCAATATGTATTTGTTTTACGTTTCGCAACAGAAACACATGTAGTAAAAAAAAGTTCAAGCAAAGCTTTATCATTTAGATAATATTTTTTATAGAATTTAAATTCAGATGTATTAGGTATATGACGTATATTTTTTATATAAACTTTTATTTTAAAAAATTATAACTATTACCATTTATACAACTGCAACTTTTCGGTCCATTCCTTCATTTATTGATAGTAATGATGGCTCGATTACGCTATCTCTCTCTAAATTGAGCGTGACCGGTTTGGCCACACGTTTGCAGGGCTCGCTGCATCACCTAAATATCTTACACCGTGGCGTGATCAAATTTTCGATGCAACCAACATTACATTTTCATAGGTCAGGTAGATTTTAAAGATTTTTTGTTATAAATATGAAATCATGGCGAGCACACTTACAATTTGTCAGTTTTGACATTAAAATAATGAAAAACAGAAGTACCTAATTGAAGTACCAACACAATAATGGGTTTATTAAAATACGAATTACGGAAGGAACCCATTCAAGTGGTACCTTTCTTGATAACTTAACAGGAACCCAATTTTCTCCGTCGTGCTCTTAAACCCGTCGTACGTGTTTTAAAGGCTTGCTTATAAACTAGTATTATAATATACTATTTTAAAGTCTCGCAAAGTAACTGGCGAAATGGTGGTTGCATCGAGAATTTGGTCATGCTCATTATTCTTCATGAATCACCCTGTATACATTATTTGAAAATCAAATCTACTAAACGTAGATGCAAAACCAATTATTCAACATTGATATACAAAACAATTACTTTACGTCAAATATGAAAACTTGAAAAAATAATGTAAACTGAAAAACATAATTTAATAATTATTTAAATAATAATAATTAATAATAATAAATAATAATTAAAAATTTAATAATAATTTAAATATTTTTCCAACAATTTTCTTGTAATTTGCATAAAGTTGTAAAGCAACCATTAGAATAGTTGTCCTTATTTTTTTACTACCATCAACTAATATGTTACTGACTGTCACTGTCGGACCATCGCCGTAGTAGTAGCATAATTCTTTCATTATCAGTGTTGACTTCAAGCTGTCAGTAAAAATCAGGTAATAAACAGATAAAAAAACAGGTAAAAACCGGTAATAAACAGCTACTTGTTTCTTTCTACTCGTAACAGATGTTTGTTTATCTTATCAGGTGGTATGTGATCTTATCGGTCAAAATGATAACGCATGCGTATTAAGATATTTATAAATTAGTATACACACGACAATTAAATGACGTTGTCGTTATGCGTTAAGGTTAACGTTAAAATAAACGATTTGCAAAAACTCTCTATTTTTTCCGCATGTATGCAACACAAAATAAAGAAAAAAATCGATAAGTTTGAATGAAAATAGTTTATGGTGCTATAGCTGTTATTATTATTCTAATAAGAGCATAAAAAAGATATTAATCTTTTGCTTGTATTAACAAGCATTTTAGTGAAACTCAACTTAACACGTTGACTGCGTTACCGGTCCCCGGGGACCGGTGCTGTTCTTTTTTGCTGTGCGGCAGTGAAATTGCATAAACTTTTATAATTTGCGTAAATTGGCTACTGAAAAGATAAGTACTACTGTATATATAAAAAGAAAATTACCAATCATATTTGATATAAATGTAACAGTTTTAGTGTGAAAAATTAAAATGTTTGTACATGCATGCCGGTCCCTGTAAACCGGTAACGCACAGAAAGAAAGTTTTCCTACCGGTCCCCAGGGACCGGTAACGCATATGGACGGGGTTTTCTAAATCATCTTACGCAGTCAACGTGTTAATTGAAAAATATTTAGTTTATTTACTTATGTGTATATTTTTGAAATTACTATTAAATGTAGGTATGTATAGACAAAAGTCTGGAAAAGGTACAAAATATAACGTGGTTAATTGTGCTAAATCTGCTATGTGCATCTTAATTTTGGTTGTACTTTTTTACACACTGGAAGCTTATTTTTGGTTTACATGATTATTATTTGATTTGTTCTAAAAAAGCTTCAATTAAGAAAAAAACAAGTAAATTAATTATAAATAACATGTGTTTGCAACTGTTTTTGTTTCTTTCTGACTAACATATTAAAACTGTTGCACATAGCAGAAACTGCGGAATCAACGACGATAAAATGGAGCTAGTTGTTTATAGTTGCTCTACCTTTTTATTTATAAATTATAAAATAAAACTACATAAAAAATAAAACAAAATTTGTTGAAACATTTTTATTATATTAAATATGTTCAGACTTAACAAAAAAACACCATAAATCTAAGAAAACAAAAACAAATTATATAAGTCACTGGGCATCCAAGGAAACACTAATGAACTATTCAAATTATAAGATTTCCTTGAAATAACCCCACCACAATTGTATCTTTAAGTAAAATAAAGTCACAAAACATTTTAAGTTGGATTGTTGTAGAACAATTCAACAGTGATTATGTGTTAAGTATCTAAACTTTGCTGTTGCCTTTGTGACTTTGATTTAAAACTTTCAAAAATTAACAAAAGCACTACTGCCTAAATGGCACCGTTTGGTTTTGTAAATTTTTCAAAAAAGCAGCTAAACTAAAAATTCATCTAAAAGAAAGCAACTGACAAAAAACTCTATGGATTATTGTATACTGGCTAATACTGGTTACTGGCATTTTAAAATTAGTCAGTTTTAAAATCCTCATCCATTTGATTCAGTTCTTCTAAATCTTCTTTTTCTATATCTGCATCTCCGTAGCCCCAAACGTGACTTCCATCGCCACTTTTCTGCGCTCTTCTTGCAATCATCGAATTTGAAGCAAATTTCAAATCATAGGCCCATCCAATTTTCGCAAAGAAATCAATAAAAGTCGTAGACGGGTTGTAGCTATTTCCAAGTTCGCCAGTTCGGTAATCCCATGGGAAGACGTGATGGTAGTTGTGCCAACCTTCACCCAACGCTGCCAAAGACACCGCCAAATTTTCCACTGGACTTATATATCTGCAAACCAACTTTAATAAAAAAACTGAGACTTTTCATACATACCTGTCGTAAGGTTTCTGGCCCCACATATGCGCGACGCTGTTAACGAAGAACGCGATGTTTAAAGTAATACAAAATCGAGCGTTAAAATTCACCCAAAATGAATTCCAAATGGTTTCGTTCCAAAAATACACAGGAATAAAAACTGGTAGAAAAATTACGAATAGGAAAAATAGTACTGGATACAGTCTGAAATTCAAAAGTTGTGTTAATATGTTTTTGGTAGTTTTAGTGTTTGTTACTTTTTGTGCCACATTATGAGCGGATCTGCTTCCAAGTCGCTCATGTCGACGGCTTTTCGTTTTTCAACAACGTCAGGATGAGGAGTCAGGACTAACCAGCCGACGTGTGAAAAAAAGAAACCGCGTTTCGCGTTGTGTGGATCGGCGTCGGTTTCGCTGTATTTGTGGTGGACTCTGTGGTCCAATGCCCAGACGTAGACATGCCTCTGAAATAAAAGACACTTTTATAAGTATGTGTAAAATACTATCAAAAAATTAAGTTTCTTTTAAGAAATCAAAGTACTTTGGTTTCCAAATAGTCACACCGTTTTCTAAATAGTATAGTATACAGTGTGTACCGGCTAAACCCCACATTAGAAGTGTTGGGAGTTCTAACAGTGCTAATTATCTAAAATTTTGATTATACCCATAATCGTTTAGATCCTGCACAATAGAAACATTTTCAAAATGATAGCACTTCCGGTTACACCGGAAATGGGTCAACTCAACTTCGTTATTTTATTAACTTCGTTATTTTTTAAATAGAAAGTTATGTTTTTTATTGCGTTTTTGGATTACTCAAGTAATTTTGAGAGAGTTTTTATCAGACTATACCTAAATTTAACCGTTTTTGACTTAGACTTTTTTTGAATTTTTTTTAATATGCATCTTCCTTTCCAAAAATCGATCTCTACCATTTTTAATTATTTTGAAATCGTATTTGGGCATATGAAAAAGAAAGACTAGATCTTTTTTTTGCCTACTTATATTTGGAAAAATAATTAACAAACCTACAAAATTTAAGGTTACATTTGGGAAATTTTAAATACCCGTAACTATTTTTTTTCAAATGGAAGGCCCCAACTTTTTCTTCACTAAATGAAAGAGAATTTAATTCTGCATCGATCTGTATCAACATTTTCCAAACCTAAATTTAATGATTTCCAAGTTATTATACAATAGAAGAAATTCATTACCATCCATGGTAGTTTTCACATAATTTGCCATGGAAATATTTTTCACTGAAAAAACGCCAAGTTTTTTTTACAATTGTGTTATTCTTCTACTAAATACAAATTAAATTTATTTAATCTAAATTGAATAACTTTGATATTCAATTTTTTTCTTATTTCTATGACAACCCATGCTAAAGTAGCTATGACTAATGAGTTTCTCACAATATCAAAAGAAGTTACTATAACTTGAAAACTATCAAACATAGGTATAGGGAATGTTAATACAGATCGAAGCAGAACTAAATTCTCCTCAATTTAGTAAAAAAAATGGGGTGTTTCATTTAGAAAAATTGAGTTAAGGGTATTTGAAGTTTCTTAAACGTAACCTTAGATTTTGGCGGTTTGTTAATTATTTTTCTAATTATGAATAAACCAAAGGAAATATCTAACCTTTCTCTCTCGTATACCCAAATACGGTTTCAACATAATAAAAAATTGCAGAGTTATCGATTTTTGAATAGGAAGATTCAAATACAATTTTTTTTGAAAAGGTCTAAATATTTCAAAAACGGTTAAACTTAGGTTTAGGGGATAATGAAAACTTTCTCAAAATCACTTGAGTAATCCAAAAACGCAATAAAAAACATAACTTTCTACTTGAAATAACGAAGTTGCTATCCACTCCCGGTGTAACAGGAAGTGCTGCCATCTTGAAAATTTCATTGAGCAGAACCTAACCAATTATGACTATAAACAAAATTTTAGATAAATATCACTGTTAGAACTCTCAATACTTCTAATGTGGGGTTTAGCCGGAACAGCCGTAACAGTACCCCACAAAACACAAAATACAAGCAAAAATAATAGGTATTTTTTTTTAATTATTTACTCCTATAATTTAATGTCAGAGGTTTTTTAAGTAATTTTCCTAAAAAATGTCGCTTATTTTTATTTAAAGTGTTGATGAATGATGATGATCAACTAGTTGTGTCATAAATTATGACAGAATCGTAAAATTTTTCCATAATCAAATGTGGTGACTCAAAGTTTACTATATGTATTTATCACAAAATACGCTCGCGATCATTTTTGATGCTTTTTTTTTTCAGTTTTTTTCTGAATTTTCTTGTGACGGAGATTTAATTTAAAACTACTCCAACTTAACAAATTATTATTTAAACTAAAAACTTCCAATAAATAATATAAATCGTTTGTTTTTTTTTAATTGTAACAAATATTTCAATTGGTTTGATTTTGTAATGTATTTTTGATCAAGTCTTTTTTTATTTTCTGAACTTTATTTGCTGAACTTCAATGTAGTACAATACATAATAAATTTTATTTTGTTTGAAAAAAATGTACATATTTAATTACACTATTAAAAAATACATACAAAAGTTTTGATCGTTAACAATTTGTAATTCCTACCCATTTCAGTTATAATTATTGTAACGAAAAAAAAAAAAACAACTTCGCAACCTCCCAATGCCCACTAAATTCACTAATGCAAGATATAAAAGTGTTTCAATAACAAACGACAATTTCTATTGTGGTTTTCAGTCAAAAACCAAATCAACAATGTTTTTTCAAACAAAACAGTCAAATCATTATTATAAGATCGAAATGGCGCAATCAGCGTGAGTTGTGATAGTGTTGTAGCAACTTTCGTGCTTTAATTGATTACTTGAAACGTGTAAAGTATACCAAATCATTTGTGAATAATAAAAAAATAAAAATCGATATGCTTTTAGGTCACACAAGCTACGCTTAACGTTGTTATCTAGGTCTTGAATATTTCAACTGGCGAGAGACTGACTGACATTTATGTTCTAGGTCGGGAAACATTGCCATCAAATTAAAAGGGTTGATAAAAAAACAATTTTTTTTTTGTTTATAGAAAATGCAAGTTATCACGTACATATTACTCTACAATATAGCTAATTAATAACTTTTAAAGAAAGTGCAGTAAATTATAAAACTTTACAGGTAAAAGGGCTATATAATATATAAAGGGCTATATAATATATATATATATATATATATAAAAATTGACTAAACAATTAAAAGTGCTCCCTATATCTGTTCTTTTTTTTTCAATACCTTGGAATAAAACTATTAGTAGAACTCGTTAAAAACAATAAATCAGTTGTATGATTTTGATAAAAAAATAATAATTGTGACGAAAATTGAAAAAAAAGTTTAAAATCCTTGACACCCATATTTACTTTATTGTTTTGTATACACAGTGAAAAGTATGGAACTAAGCCTTTTTTTCGTAAACTAACTACTTTATGAAAAAAATAATTTGTTGCGTAAAGTACAATTAAAATGTGACCGTTTATCAAGAATAACGTTTTTCGAAATACTTTTTTGTTCTCGAGTTTTGCAAAAAAAATGGGAAACTCAAAAACTAAAAGGAATTTCGAAAAATGTTGTTCTTGATAAACGATTACGCTGCACAAATAATTTTTTCGTAAAGTAGTTAGTTTACGAAAAAAACGCCTAATTCCATACTTCTTATTCACCGTGATACTGATTTTAAAAATAGTTGAATTAAAAATTCTACAAAAAATACTTGGTACCTGGAAAGATTGCTTACATTTACAATGTCTGTACAAACTGAAATGTTGTTTATTAAATGTTGATGTAAAAGTAAATTTTTACACCTCTTTCAATATTATTGTTTCCATTTAATCATTATTGATCCTCTAAAGTTAATTTTTCAACGTGACCAAGCACGAATGGTGTAAATGTATATTCAATTAACCAGGTCAATTCTAGTAAGTGTAACAAGACAAGTATTCATAGTTAAATATTCCATACAATGAACCATTTATTTCATTACCTTGGCAATCTTTAGTCATAATTGAAGAAGCCATTTCAAAGTTTTTGCAAACTTGTATTTATTACAAGTATTTCCACCTATAAAAGTAAAATTTTCCTTCGTCACAAAACGTGTGAAAACGATTTTCAATTAAATGCAATCCAGACGAAACCAGATTTGCCTGTTGACAGCGACCGCTATTTGTTCGTGTTAGTCATTGTTGATGGACTATTTCGATTTCCACGAATTTGTTACCTATTCACTACATAGTAACTACAAAATATAAAGTCCAATATTTTCCCAGTAATTGTATTTTACACCGAATTGTGCTTTGAAAACAGATCGATGGGGAAAGTAATTTGTTGGACTTGATAATCGGTTTCAAATCGAGTAAAAAGTGACATTACTGGGTCATTAAATATATGGCCAAAGGCATTGTCGTAAATTTGTTAATGCGTGTACATATGGCATTTGAATGAAGATCGATAAAATTAGGGGTAACAACCTTAAACAATGCACACTTGGATAAGAAATTCTAGAAAACTAATCTATCGACGATCAAGCATAAATTCAAATAAACTAGGTTTTTTCAAATAGCAAATTATCAAGATCGACTTTTGTTCGTTTTTCGAATGGTTTTTTTGCAAAGAAAAAGTTTTTGTGTTTTAATAATCAAAAATTCAAGGTATAAATCTATTCTAAATTTGAGAAATGCATCCAAAAATATGTTCAAGTAAATTTAAAAACAATATGCATTTAAATCTGAAAAACTTTTCTTAAAAGAACAGACAATTTTAATCCTCGATATAAAAATCATTAATAAAGGCTTTGTACTTGTTTCTTGTTTTTGTACAATAATAAAAAATTAATAGAGATGTTTCAAATATTTATCGGTTAGATATAAATAAATCAGTTATAAAAAGCAATCTTCATTCAAGTTTTGTGGCGTCACTAAATTCAGATAGAAAACTCTAGAATAACTTTTTTTTTATGAAGTTTTCTATCAAAATCTATTAATGTACTTTTATACAAATATTTTGTAAAAATTAAAAAGGCGTGTTGTATTTTAAGTATACAGGGTGTCCCAGCGAGTTAAAAAAGTCCATCAGTGACCTTTAAATGGTAAAATAAAAAAAAATAGGCCATTGATAGATACTAATCTAGTCCATCGTTTTAAATTATTTTCAACTATACAGCGTGTCTCAATAATAAGTTACAATAAAAACTGTTTTTTAAATGAAGCACCAGCGTTAGCGTTTTTGGATATATGTAGATTTTTATGACAATGTTTTTAGGCTAAACTTATTAGTCGATTTTGCTTAGTTTTAAAAATAAGAAGTTTTTTTGACGAAATATGCACTCTTTAAAAATCTATTACACAAAAACTAAGACATCTAAAAAATTTTTTTTACTACCTCAAAGAAGAAGGGACAAGCTTTAATATTTTTTTAGTATGTTACATTTGCAAAAGATAAAAAATTAAAGCGTTTGCTAAAAGTTCAACAACTTAAAAATTTTAAATGGAACACCTATTTATTGTTTAATGGACTTTTTCAACTCAGTAGGACATATTAACATAATACATAAGGTACTCGTATATGTATTACTCATACTAAAAATAACTAATTTAAAAAATTAAAACAGCACATCTCGTTTTTCTTTAAAAAAGTTTCAAAAACAAGAAAATATAGAAATGTTTTTTTTTCAACTAAATACATACACAGAGTGTCCTAGCTAGTTGTAAAGTCCAATATTGACCTTTAAACGATAAAATTTTAAAACATGTATATAGGAAATTGATAGATACTAATCTAGTCCATAGACTAGATTAGCATCTATGACTTTCTGATATACATATTTTAAAATTTTATCGTTTATAGGTCAATATTGGACTTTACTAACTTACCAACTAGCTGGGACACCCTGTATAAAACGATAAATTACATTGAAAAAATTGAGAGTTTAAAAAATAGCTATTCATGCAACAAGTTGCAAAATGAGCGTGTTTTTCACGTGAAAATTGGACCACGAGTGTAAAATGTGGTCCAACACGTCGTGTGCAAAAAACAGCCATTTTGCAACGTGTTTCATACAAGATCTTTTCCAATTTAGTTGTGAAAAGCATAGGCATCAAATTTGAATTTCTGTCTGTGATTTCAATAGTTTTCCAAAATCATACTGGTATCGGGGCGTTGCGTTGCCATGAAAATACTATTGTTTTTAGCTATTTTAACACTAGTGATACAATAATGTCATATTTTATAAATTATAACTAGTGATAAAATTAAGCACATTTGACAACTAAAATGGCGTATCACAATGGTTGCTTTTCACAACCAAATTGGAAAAAAATATTTTATCTATTTTGTTTTTATTCCAATGTCTGCATCTAAAACACCGATTAAACAGTTTTTTTGTTACTCAGTTAGCTCAAGATTGTGATATCTAGTTCATTAAGATGTTGTTATCACAATAAAACACAAAATTACTAAGCAAATTTTACTCGTGTCAAACATTTAGAACTAGTTATAATCAGTTAAAAACTGTACCAAAATATCATGTATATCGATTTAGAATGAAGAAATAATTCCATACACATAAGACATAAAAAAAGTTTGTTCTGAATAAAATTATATAAAAATATAAAAAACGTAAACATATTTTGGTTAACATAAGTGGCTACTTATAACTTAGGTACTAGTTCCACATTCAAAATTAGAGAAAACCATAGTTGTAAATTTATACTTCAATATTTTTTCAAATAAAAAAAAATTTGCTCACCTGACCCGTAATTGTAAATAAGACGAGTAGAAGTATCTTAAGGGGCCATTTGGCTTTGTAAGCTCTATGTGACCATAACCTATGAGCACCTGCGGTGATGCCAAACCCTGAGAGGTATATCGTTAGGAATGCTGGAACAAAAATTATTTTCACATTGCAAATTTAGACATAATTTGTCTTTAAATAATACACGATGAGTGGTAAAAACAATTGTCTATAAAATAATGAAATGAATGATGAAATAATAACATAACTCTTCATCTTATCAAGGCAAAAACCACATATTACAAAGTAAGTGATAAATTTTAAACTTTTCTGAAATAAAATGTCCTGTTTTTGTTGGAAAATTACATAAATGAAAAGACAATTTTCGCAATGGGTTATAAAACAATTCATAGAGATAAATTACTTTTTATTACAAAATAGGTATGCAAGTGACGCTCCCCCTGAAGAAAGAGTTACAAAGTTCTAATAATATGTATTGAATCAAAAATGTTACTAAATTCAAAAATTGTTTTAAAAAAATTTGTCAAAATTGACAAAACACCAAATAAGGGTACATTGTAATTGAAGAGCGTATAACGCGAAAGCTAAGCTTAAATGCACCATAGAAACAATATAAGATGTTAATGTTGAAAAATTAAATAAAATATTACACATTTTTTACCAACGCCACAGATATGCATTTACGGAAAAGCCATAAAAAGTAAAATCACTAAAACGTGATAGCTTGAACGCTCTACACCCATGTAAAACGTTATTTAACCATCTTTGTCGCACAATAACAATTGTTTTTTTCTTGTTGCAAATTTAGAAGCACTAAAAGTAGAAAACGACAAAAGGTTGAAATTGAGTGAAAGTAAGAGACAAAAATTCAATCATAACCCTACAAAGTTGTAGAGTTTCATAGAAAAAAAAGTCAAAAATCGCCTAAATTAACGTTTAAAAAAATAACAATAAGAGTGCGTTGAATTTCAATTATTGAATCTGACGCTTCTGACAGTTGTTGACATTTCGCGTCAATGTGGTTCACACTCCTTAAAAAAATCACACGAAAACGATATAAAAACGGAAGGAAAAGGCAAAAGGGTGACGTAATTAGTATTTATTTGTGTAGAGACCAGTGTGTTTTTTTAAGTGCGAGTTGATGTGATTGGTACAGATCGTGACAGTGCAAGCCGCCAAATGCCGTCGTCTCTATAAAATACCGTCTCGAAAGAATTTTTTTCTATTTCGGTGTTAGAATAGGTCTATTCCAGCACCCAAATGACGTCATTTGAGTGCTGGAATAAGTCGTTGGCGTTAATTTAATTTTAGTGACAGACTTTCTTCACAATTCATTTTCAAATGTGAAAATAAGAATTATTTTTATTTTTACTGCCGCCTATTCGTAAAATTATTCCACATAAATGTCGCCAATCGTCACAAAATTCTCTAGAAAAAAAAATTTCGTTTTCTAATTTATAAAATGACAAAGCGGCTAAATAGAAAAAATTGTATAAAGCAGTTGTTGCAGAAGGTTCTTCAAGCACTCATTTGTTCCTCAACCCGCCGCAACGCGGCTCGTTTCGGAATTTCAAATTTGTGCTTGAATAGATACCTTCTGCAACTTGTACTTTAATATACTATTCTTGCACATTTCCCAAATTTACAGAGATAGGTAATCAAACGTGAACTTTTAATTGAGGTCTAAATATTATTTCCGGTGTTCTGATAAAATATAAATATCGCGCATTCGCACGTCCGTGAAATCTGATAGGTGAGAAATTTCCAAATTTGTGTCTCGCGGAAAAATCAAATGACGAAAAGACGGTGATAAAAATGATTTAAATGTACGAAAAAGGGATGCGTAGGACGTATGAAAATATACAGGGTATTGACGAGTAATAATGAGCCCGACGGAATTGAAAATACAACCCACAATACATTTGCAAATGGATATTTTAGATCAGTTTGAAAAACTGATTATGAATCCACGGTAATTTTGCTTTCAATAATTTCATTTGTCACAATTGACATTAAATTTAACAAAAAGTCAAAATGCATTCGAACGATGAGAAAACAGATCTGATTCTCATTTATGGCAAATTTGGGAAAAATGCTTCTACCGTTGAGTGTTTGTAAAGACAATGGTTTCTGAATAGAAAAGCTCCAAAAAGGCTTGAATCACTAAAGTGTTTTCCAACGGTAGTAGACAAATAACCTTAAAAATTGTGTTTCCTGTCTTGTCAATTTCTTTGTGTCAGTCACGCAATAACTATGTTTAATTAATTTTAAAATTCATAATCAAAATCCATGAAGCCTATGCAAATGTATTGCTGGCTGCAGTTCAAATTTGGTCAGGCTCATTAAAACATTTGTGAGTCCGATATTGTGAGCCCCCAAAATTTCTAAAAAACTTTTGCAAAGCCAATATGTAGTGTAAAATTCCGAGCGAGTTCCGACAAAACATTTGTGGATCAGATATTGTAAGTTCTACTTGGGGGGCGAAGTCCCCGACAATTTCGACATTTTTCGAATAAGATAGTTTGAGTTTTACATGAGAGGCGAGTGGCTGTCCCAACGACTTCTACAAAATATTTGCGAATCCGAGAGGATTTGCCCGATTAAAACTAGTTAAAATCCCAACAGCTCTTTTGAGTGTTATGTTTCTGTGTTATGTTAATGTTAATATTCTATACTGATATTTGATATTGATAGAATGATAGATATATAGTATTATGATCTCTTACTGACTAAACGTGAAAAACCTGAAACTTTTAAAGTCCCTAGATGAAAGGTACGGTATTCGCAAACTGTCCATAACAGGTAGAAAAATATCTAATGATCTTGCGATTGTGGAACGTTACAAGAATTTTCATCAAAGTGAATTATAAAAATTGCAGTTGCCACTGGACCAAACTTGCAATGCCTATGAAAGCGGTCTATTTTGAAAGATATTACTATTGTTCATCAATCAGAAGTATCTGCGCTTGGAAGAAAAATCTGTAAAGAAATAATCACGCTTACCTCGTGTTCAAATGTTTTAGGTACCACAAAATGAAGTTGTTAGTCCTGGGCAAATCATCTAAGCAACGATCGTTTAGAACTTTGCAAAGCTCAAAGCGCAAAGTTATAGAGTTAGCTAAGAAACTGACTAAAGATATCACAAACGAAGACATTATAAAGTATGCTACTATTCAAGAAAAATCCCAGGAGGTATGAATGATAGTGAGATTTTAGAAAATATTCACCTAAAAAATCCGAAAAAGAATTTGAGATAGAATCAGATAATGTCGAACGTATTAAAAAACAGTAGTCAGTTTTGAAAAATGTTAAAAAAGGGCAAAAGAAAATTTTAAACCAGACCATCATAGGACAGGAGATGAAAAAAAGACCCTATAAGCTGATGCAATTAGATTTTTATATTTCGTTTTACTCTCCTTTTAAATAAATAATAGATAAAATAATAATATTAATAATAAATTTTCTAAAAAAATGTTTGTTTTAAATAAAAAAAGTTCGATAATCCAAAAAATTACAAATCCGGCAATAATTCATTTATTATAGAAGTTCTAGTGTATATTTTTTACGAAAAAAGTTCAACTAACTTACAAATTCATAAAAATTTTCTATTTGCGTCTCTGGGTAAATAACGTGAACTCTTTACATTTCATTCCCCTTCTAAATTTCATTTAGATAGGTCAAACCGAATTCTTATATTCTTAATTAAAATGCTGGCTTCCCACTCTTCTCAGCACTACAGAATCTTGTTATAATCCATATCTTTATTTCATTGTACCACTGTTTTATCAATTATCAGTTATCACTAACAAGATAAAAGTTATAATGTTGTGGTTTTGTTAAATTATTTTTGATAACAAACTTAGATAAACAATTAATTCAAAAACAATATTTTGAAACGTAACAAACCATTAAACATCAAAATATATGGTACATAATACAAGAAAATGTTTAATTTGTTAATAGAGCAAATGATTTTACGATGAAATATGAAGACGCAAAGTCCATTTTTTATTGGATCAATAGCTTTCATTTCACAAGGCGCCGCTGTCTGTATCAATTTACCGAGTTAATATCATCATTGGGAAATTTAACAAGAAAAGTTGAGTGCAATGTTTTGTTCGAACATAAAGTCCAATAAATGATTTGTGAATTTAACAGAAAAATCTCAATATCTAGACGAATAAAATATCTTGTGCTCTTAAATTATACTCCTACTTATTTCTCCTTTTATAATTACTTTTTTTAGTTTATACAAATTTATTCAGCTATCAGTTACAAAATAGCAAATTTTAGATTTTCGTTATGAATATACAGGGTGTTCCGTTTTTATTGTTACAAATTTAAGCAGGTGATAGAATATTCAATTTTAAGATAAAAGTTTCCTATGAATATGTATCGAAAAATATTAAATAAAGGCGTTACATCCCCTAAAAGGGGTACATCTTTTAATAGATTTCTTCCAATATTTCAACATTTTCAGCGACCATTGTAAATAAAATTACAAAATTTGGTACAACTGATAACCTTTATACACCCAAACGAAGTCAAAAATAAAATGTCGAAATTTTTACTCAGGGGCGTCCCAAACTAGAGAGGGGTTAGGGTAAAAGTACCCTAACTATTTCGGCTGTTGGTTCTTGCCACTTTCAGCCACACAATTTTAAATTTCATAGTTTTTCACAAAAAATAAGTATCTTGCGTTTTTTCGATACAACTTACCGTTTTTGAATAAAATCAGTTTACAATATGTGTTACAGACAATAAAGAGGATAAAAATTATAAATTAAATATCCAATTCGTCTTACCGTTTAAGACGCCCGTGATTAAAAACTTTGACAACTAATCTTTGAATTCGTTCAGGTGTTTAAAGGTTATCAGCTGTACCAACTTTTGTACTTTTATCTATTCTGCAATAGTGGAAAAACCCCAATAAAAACCGCTTACGTAAAATTTTTGGATACATGTTTATAGGAAACTTTTGTCTTAAAATTGAATATTCTATCACCTGTTTAAATTTGTAACAATAAAAACGAAACACCTGTATGTATCTAACATTTTAAAATACAGGATGTCAGGAAAAAACGTTAAATAATTTTAGAGGGTTATAGAAATATTCCTACGAACCTATATCCGGAAATGCTTCCTAATAAGGGAGTTAGAGCGATAAATCAACTTTACATACAAAAACACCTTGCGTGGGTTGCTTTTTGTAATGGATAAACGGTTTCAGAAAACCCCGTTTTTTGGAAAACTGCGTCGTATAAAAATATCACACACATTTTTTTAGGAAAACTAATCAGCAAATCCAAATCTGTAAAAAATATTTAAATAACGTTTTTCAAAGCAAAATTTTTCGCCTTAAAAGGGTTGACTATAGTGCCAAAAAAAGTGTTATTTTACAAATCGATATAAGTATGAGATTTTGCTGCCAATGAACCTAAAAAATACACTATTTTAATCATCTAGTGTAATAATCGTGTTTTAGTCGTATTTATTAAAATTATAAAGCAAGTGTATTAATTAATAGTTAATAATAGTAATTACTTCTGTTCGGTGATCGAAATTTATTTACCTACCCCCACTACTTAGAGCTTCGCAGTGCCGTTGCGCGCTTGTCTGAAAACCGAATTTCTGAAATGTAACCATTTAATTTTTGGGTGTCGTACAAATAGGTAAAGATGTCAAGGACCATTTCGGTGTTACTAAATACAATTTGGTAATAATTGTTATTTTAATATATATTTAATATATTTTTAGTGACACTCAAGGTTCTAGTTTTCGCTACGTACGACACTGGGCCTACTCATGCTACGCGTGGTAGGAGAAAATAAATCCCGACGGCCGAACACAAGTAATTACAAAGCGCAAAACTTTGTTTAAAATTTGTAATACAAATCAACTTTTTCCTAAAGTAAAAACTGTAATTGATAATGTGACCAATCGTCCTGATTTAGCCAGAACATGTTTACGTTTTCAATGTGATGTCCTATTTTATGTTTATGTCCTGATGTGTCCCGATTTAAGGAGAAACAGAGAAGCATAGATTTTTGGGATTTTCATTTGTGGCAAAAAAAAGTTAAAAAGTTTTCTTGAATGATAATTAGTTGTAAATATGAACATTATACGCTTGGTCCCCTGAAGAAAATCAACTGAAGGTATTGAAACACTCAAAAATAACTTATAGTGACCAAATTAAATATTAATTTGGCTTGCAGAAAATTAAAAAAAGTGACTCTTCAAGCAATTCATACGGAAAAAAATGAAACTAACACAATTAACACATTAGATTAGGGTCCAAAAATTCACAATCACTAATGTAATACATCATGAAATCCCATGAGCAGTAATATTATTTTATACCTTGAGCGGTAATATACAAGTTTGTCAACGTTAAGATTACAAAAATACCTGGCACTTTTTCGTTCAAATTGTCAAGTTACGGATAATATTTTGCTAAATTAGTATTCGATTGCTTCGGAGGGAGCACACTGCTCCATTTCAACAGTTTTAATATCAGATTCATAGATTATTTTAATATTTCCTTTGACATTTCTGAAATGTCATAAATAAAACGCGATTTAGATGGTCTACCACATTTGGACCTTAATTTTGTTGGAATTTTATTTCATTCAAATTTTTGACTAAAAATAATGTGGTAATGTGATAATGGCATCACCCCTTGTGTTTTATCCACGTATACATGAGTTCTCAGGGTAATGCCATATTTACCACCTCGTTGTACTATTTTTGTTTTCCATGTCAATATTTTACAAACTACTCGTATATTCTTAAAAGATTCAAATTTTTATACAGTTGCATTGGTATTTTGTGTTTTGAAATAAAATTATTACAATTACTTTTGTTAATGTCATGATTTTAAATTTTCTGAAGTTGGTCATCTTAGTAATTGAAAATAAATCAAAAAATGGCCACCATAACACAATGTCATTTGCAAAACAATAAAAAATAAAAGGAGAACAATGGATTTAAACACGTACTCCCTAAATTGATAGTTTTCTATTGTTAAAACAAAATGATTACTTAATGGTTGACTCAGTAACTTAGATTTTTTAGGCATTAAAACATCTGTTACTTTGTTAATCGTCTCATATTATGATAGTGAATTTAAGTTTGGTAACAATGTCTGAAATTCAAATAATGTTTCATGTGACAAGCCTTGATTGTTAAAAACAAACAAATAAAATCTCGCACTTATCTAATATGCTTAAATTTTGTAATGTTCGTTTGTTCTTTTATATTGTTATCTCAAAAAAATATTTAATTCTCACTTCCGCATTATTACGTCGTAGACAGGAAAATGGATTTGTTTGTCCTCGAACTTGTCCTACCTAGAAGAAACATTGACTAGGTACTACGTGTACCATGGCATGAATTTCTTATCTTATCGCGGTTTAGCATGAGCTTAGACAAATTTAAAGAGTATTGTTGACACTACATGAAAATATAGACATCTGTTAACAAAGTAGATAACGAAAATTTTCGTTACTAATCAAATGTTACCACAAATAGAAACGTTTCTAAATAATGTAATGTTACGTAAATAAAATTATTTTTAAATAGTTTTTTAGAATGAAACTAACAAGATAACTAAAGTAAATAAAACCAACACACTTTTCTATTTTATTATTGTCTAGTATAACTGTTACGTTTTGAGTATAACATTAAAAATTTTAATAAAAATCTAAGTTGAACAAATCATCCTCAGGTGATCGTGTTTTTGTTCATCGTTTCCATACCAAGAAGATCCAAGAAGAAGAATAAAATCTAAGTACTCCAATGGTTAATTCTAGTAATTTCTTAATTTCTCAATTCAAATTCAAATTATAGTAAAAACTGTAAAAGCTACTAAAAAGTCAAATATCGTTTGATATTTTTAAATGTGTATGGTCGGCGTTCAAATAAAAGACTAAACTTGAAATTAAAAAAAATAGCATTGCAATTTTAAAATTCTCTTTAAACTACATTTTTAATCACAGTTCAAATAAAATAGTATATTACTACCCAAGCGCGAAATATATTATTACCCCGAGACTAAATCGTATGTCCCAGAAGGTGTAGGTAATGATGAATACTCAGCTGTATCAACTTTTGTAATTTTATCTATTCTGCAATAGTGGGAAAACTCCATTGAAAAACGCATCTCTTTCAGGGAGTGTAGTTCGCTTACACAACACTTTCTTATACATTGTCATAGAAAACTTTTGTCTTAATATCAAATATTCTATCACCTGTTTAAATTTGTAACAATAAAAACGGAACACCTGTATATTTATAAATTACATAAATAGTGTTGGTGTGCCTGTTTGTATGTTTACGACTCTCCCATTCACAATATGAATTAAAAATATAGTGAAATAAATCATTTATTTTAAAGATTTTATGACTTAACTGATACAATTGTTTTTATATTTTTGCGAAAGGTGAAATACCGGTTCTAGCCGGTGATGCTATTTCGGATTAAGTATAACTTTTTAGAAAAGCTATACAACATGATTCATTTTTGATTCACCTGGCAGGTGTATTAGATTAGATACGCATCCAAATATTACCAATTTGTCAAATATTTTTTTCATTAATTGACTGAGAGATTAAACACATTTTTATTTAAAAATTATTAGTAATCAGTGTTCAATATTTTTACAAATAATATCTGAAAACAGCAAATATCCGCGCAAATGTGTGCAGAGTTAAATAAATTCTATTAAAACCAATGCTTTTCTAAAGAAGTTACTATTCTAATATTAAATGACCTAAATTAGGCACATGTGTAATTAACCTAAACAAATATTCAGTAATACGAATTTACTCATAGAGTCAATAAAATCTTGAATAAATATAGAATAAGTAAATAGTTTTAATTATTCATAAATACTTTTTAATGTTACTGTTTTTTCTTTACCTAACAAATTCTATTTTATGTCTATTTTAATTGTTTTTTAACCCACTTTTCCAATTCTACATTGCTTAGATTAGCATTTCAAAATCATAATATTTTTGAGTCTTCCTAATTTTTGTAATTGATTGCAAAGTGAAATTTGAGATATTCTCATTCATTTTAAAACTTAATAAACGCGAATGGCACGGAAGTAAACGCCAAAAAAATTGTTAACCCGTCTTAAATAACTCTTGGAACGAATCCATGACAATTAATTTAGTTCAACTGATAGAAATAAATTACCACTTAACATTTCAACAATACCGATCAACTTTTCATTGTTACACAAATGCACAGATGTAAAAAAATTAAAATGACCTGACGTCACAAGTTTATTTTTATTCACCAAAAGCCGAAATTAAATCACCGGTCGTCAATTTTCGTGTTTATAATTATGATTTTTATTAGAACTGGAACTGGTAGATAATCAAGTTCTATATTTAGGTTAGAAAAATCAATCACCTGTGCAAATGTCTATGAATCATTTCACTAAAAATACATAAAATGCACTTACCAAAAAGCGTTGTGTACAACTTGGCAGACACAAGGCACAAATACAGTCCATATAAACATCCTACATGAATAAATATTTGTACTGTTAAATCCGGCCACCGGAGTTTCGGCCGGAATTCTTCTTTTTTTGATTTGTTGTCTAGATTTTCGGTTTTGGTCAAAGCAGTCAGACGTCGCGATGTCTCTTTAGCGGCAGTCGAGCAAGCACTTTTTGAACATTCATCGCTGCCTTCCGTCATTTCTGAAACAAATTCAAATTTTCATTGAATGCTCTAAAAAGATTACTGTTTACTCCTATTTGCTTGCACGTAGTTCATTTATCTCGGGAACTCCAGTAAAAATATTCTGTTGGTTGATTTCAGATCGCCAGAAAGCCATTAATCTGAATAGAATATCGTGTGCATTATCCTAATTATAAAAACTGCGATGTCATTTGTAAAATTATGTAAACATGATCTATTGAGATGTGTAATACGATAGAGTACTTGACAAGTAAGAATTTATACCACATATTTATATAAAAAATAAAAACATCTTTACTCCCGTAAAGACAGCGCTGAATCTGTTTAAAAGTTTAGATTTAACATTCAGTGTCAAGAAATATGTATACCTTTAAATTTTCTTAAGTATGCAGTCTTATTTGTTATTATTGCTCGTTTATTGGAGTAATACAATAATATTTATTATCAAGTCATATTTGAAAATTTAATAAAAAAACAACTACGTGCAATAATATATAAGAAATAAACCGCAAGGTGCGACCAAGGGGCGAAACTTTTGAACCACCAGACGGCACGACTGTCGACGAAGCCAAAAAATGTTAAGAAAGTTTAGGCATACAAATCTTTTATCACAACACAATCTGCCATTGAGAAGTAAATCAAACGAAAGAACAGACTTTTATCTTTAGTTTACATCGTAGCCATACCTGGAGCTTCCCTGGATTGCTTGATACAGCATGATTTTTAAGGTACTGCACTGTACATACATTTCTTGACACAGATGTCCTCATTCACTCGTTCTCAAATATGTTTCAAAAAACGTTGTTCGGTACATAACTATAAGATGCATTGTCTTGTATTAAATATTTGTATAATTTTATTATTTCATGAGATAGCTGACGACAACTGAGAGCTGTGATCGGTATAAACGTAATCTTCTCTTAACTTTTTTTAGTTCGAGAGTTTTGAAATAGATGCCAAAATAGTGCTAGCCTATTGTAGTAGAGAAAGAAATTATAAATAGCCAATAGGAACGAAGTACCCTCTTTGTGCCGTTTTACTGCCATCTACTAGGTATTTTATTAAATTTAAGTCGACCGCAGCGTCACGGAATTTTTAATAAGCTACCTCAAGAACATATGCTTTGATTCCGCACTCTTAAATAAAAATGATATATGTATTACAAAAGAGCTGTAATAATGACATTCCTACTGAAGTTTGTATGATCTTTTTATTCACAATCACGTTTTTTTTAATCAAATATTTGTAATAAAATATCTTTTTCTAGCAAAGTTTATCTTTGAAGTGCATCAAATTGCATTTTTGACGTTTTATATTTTTCATTAAGTGTTAAAAAAAGGTTTAATTTTTCTAAATTTTTTGTGATCGTTGCTTATTGTGATGTCTGAAAGTAACAGTGGAATAATGAAGCCTACACTTATAAAAGCAGCTACTAATGCAGTTGAAAATCACAATATAATAATAATTACAATACAATAATTGTAAATAGAATAAATTCTACTATATTTTGTATTTTTTTAATCATAACATTCTCTGTTCTAGTTTAACAACAAACAAGTAAAATTGTTCTTTTCTTTACATTAATGACAATATGGTAAAATATGTCAATCCAGAAGTGTAATTCTGGAAAAAAAATACTTTTACCAGATTTATTAAAACTTAGTAATTTCTCAGTAAACATAATTGATGTTGTTTAACTTTTTTTTTCACAATCACTCTGATAACACAGGATCCCAAAACTCGCTCCTCACAAAAAAATAAGTAAGATAAGATACCAGGAACATAGAAAAAATTTTGAAATTTATTTTTAGACATTTGACATTTTTTATGTCTATTTAATGATACTGATAATCTTGTGTATGTTTTTATAATTATTTGGTAAAGATACAGAAATTTTGCCAATAAAAAAGCAACATTAGACAGAATTACAATTTAGGATACAGCTTCCTTGTTTCCTCTTGCCTGTACCAAAAAAACTTGGAAAATTATTTTTCCAATAGAAATAAATAAAAGTGCAAAATTGAAATTTTCATAACTTCGAAATTGTTATGGATAAAATTTTTAAATTATTTTTTCTATCTTCCTGGTATCTTACCTTACATGGCATGTATCTCTGGGGCGCGAGTTCTGGCGCACCCTCTATAACTACCACTTTATAAGTCGGAAAATACCTACGTCATACTTAGCTCAAGGGTGAGAAATAACAGATTTTACTTCCGTCTCTTGGATGGGAAGTGATTCATATAGGATTGTAACGTTAAAAGCTTATAAAATACAGAAAACGCAATTTTTCATCTTCGAAAAACAGATATTTTATTATTTACAGAAAACGTCGAAGCTGTATCGCTTTTTAGTCAGATAACCTGAGTGAGCGCTGGGAAAAATGCCTTATTTTCCAAATAGGCTGTAATATAGTATTTATTTTACTAAAATTATTCTTCTACTCTTAAGAAATTATTCTTTCTTTCATGTCACAAATTTTCTACCACTTACTTAGAGTTTACTTAAGCTTCAGATAAACTAATATTACCAAAACGAGAATATATTAATGTAACAAACAATTTGTAAATTTAAACCAGGTTTTAGTCGAATTAAAATTAAATTGCGTTATACATATCTTTGACGTAAGGAATAAGTTTGCGAATGCAATTTGTATCGTTTTCAAAGAATATAAACTCAAAAAATTAACAAACAGTCATCCAACCTGAAAGTGTCAACAACTTACTCATATGCAGATAAAATAATCGTTATCCGCAAATTACCTATACAAAATCATTTGCAATGGCTATTTGAGTAATTACCTCAATAAACAGTTCTCAATAAATTTTAGTAGATTACTTGGCGACAATATTATTATTGACTTTGAAAACCTATTAAACGGTAAAAACATCTGGACAACATGCCATCCATAACCATACAAAATTTAACCTTCAGTAAAATTTGCAATAATTTTTGCTTGTTGGGTGTTATTTTAGTACAGTTAACATAAATACAAATGTGACAAATTTCAGAAAACCACTTAATATCACTATTCGAAAAACTCTTAAATTTTTATGTTAGCAATAAATGACTAACAAAAATAAAACAATATTTCTGTGAAAAACATTTTTTAGGCAATATTTACAGCTAATAGAGGTGTTAAGAGTGTTGTCAAGTACGATAACATATCTGTAGATAAAAATTAACACTACTAGTAAGGCTAAACACAAACTTTACTTTCAAAATGTTCAAAAATTTCAAGCAAATGATAATAGTGGAAAAATGTGAAAGAAAAATTTATCATTCTACACTCAGGTATTGTAAAATTCTGTTGAAGATTATCTCATTAGAAAAATAAACTATTTGTTTGACCAAATAATGCAAACATTGTGAAAAAAATAAACAATTCTTTTATCAGGTACTAACAATACTTGTTAACTTAATTTGAAGATATACAACCGCTTTAAATAACACGAAAAATTTACATTTTATTTTCAAAATTTATAACCAGAGTTAGTCATCAAGAAATCAATATAGGTTTTTCGATAAATTATTACATGAAACACCTGACCAATAACATAAAAAATACGATTCTTGACTTTCTCCCCTAATTTCACGCCCTACCCAAAATTATACCCTTATTATTTTATCGTTCATCACCACTTGTTCAATCAAAACAAGTGTATCCTATTAGTAAATGGGTTCTTTTATAGCTTACTATAAGAACACAATTGATTGTAATCATTACTTTTCATTAAAAAGATTCGTGTCAAATGTAGTTACAACAAAATCGATTTCAAATTTGACTTCAGTTTTCACCCACTTTTATATTTTATAATAGCACTCTAAAGAAGAATGAATTATGTACAGTTTAGAAAAAAAAAAACAATTTTTGATAAATAATTTTGTTTGTTACTTGAAGTGAAAAAGAGTTGATCAAAATTGTCACAAAATAAATTGTGTTTCGTGAAATTATTTTAATTAAATGCCATCAAAAATATTGATGTGTTTTTCTTAGTTACTGTCCATCACGATATCTAAATGAAACAATAAATTGCATTTATTTGTACCTTTAGATGACTATATTTCTTTAAAAATAAAAATCATTTTTATTATTGTTATGTTTTCATTAAATTTGTTCCAAAAGTTTCTAAGATATTATGCACATCGAAACGAAATGAACAACAAAATGAAATATAATAACAATTTATAAAAATATCTTCAATTACTGTTAATTATGTATTTGAAATTGACCTAAAGCTCGCCTTTTGACCCTATGTGGTGTTAAACCGCTTCAACAGTGATGATTTCATGGGAATCAAAATCAACAAAGTGCTTTTGTTGCAAATTCGCTGACCTCTATCAGACAACCTTGTGCCACTACCGTGTAATCTTTAACAAAAGTTCACTCAACTTAACAACAGTTATATTAAAGAAAATCTAACGATTTTTAAATAAAGGATAAACTTCGTTTTTTTATAATCTTGAAGCAAACGAAAGGTCATATTAGAACAGCAAAAAACAATTTCTATTTTACGTGTGTGCTGTAAATTATGTTGATTATAGACAAATTTCGATTCCTCTTTGATCACTTGTCCAAGATTTTTCGAATAAATCGCAAAAGCATTATCAAAAGAAAATTAAGTAAATACTTTTAAAACGAGGACAAGTAAATCAACATCAGATAGCTGGAATCAAATCTAGACTGTTTATACGATTTACCTAATTTAAATATGTTATTTGCATTTGATAAACTTTGTCTCACTTTAATCTTAAAAGAAATGTAGACTTTACTAATGTCACAATGAAAAACAACAAATCTTTTAGCGTAATTTTCTGACAACAGTTACAGTAACAATAACCTTCACTAGAATGTTTAATTAATAAAAATTCCTGAAAGGTAATAAATAATTTAAACCAACTATAAAAAACAAAAATAAAGAGAAAGTGTTATCTCGCATAGTTATATGCAATATTCTGTTTCTAGATGTTATATGTTAACATTATAGATATTTTAATG